CACCGGCGCCTTCCCGGCGGGGTAAATATTGGGGGGCCCTGGGCCCGCGGAGGGGCGCAAACCGGGGGGAAACGGGGCTCCCTCCGCCTCTTTGTTTTTGCTGGGAGAGGGAGGGGAGGGCGGACACACGCGCGTTCACGCTCGGGGTGTGGGGGGGCGGCCCGGGCGCCGCCCGCTCGCCCGGCGAGGACAAAGGCGCGGCTGGGGACGAGGAGGAGGGTGACTGTTATTTTACAGGCTTGCCTGGGGAGGCCCCTCCAGTCTGGCCCGCCTCCGCCTCCCCCGGCTGGCCCCTCCAAGGCCCCAGCTGGCCGAGGCGGCTTCCCTGGCTGTGGTTTGGGGGGGCTGAGGGAGGGGCCCCGCGACTAGACGGCTGGGGGCACGCGATACTGTTGATTCGGGCTTCTGTAGGCTTCACCGGACAACCAGCAGCGCCCGCTTTTCTCTTCTCTTGTCCGGGCGCCTCCGACCCGGAGGTCAGCAAGGCAACTCCCGCTTGTTGGATGGGGGCGTTTGGGGGTCCTAAGGTGATGGGTGTGTGGTTGCCAGGCCACCGATTTTGTTTTCCTTTGTGGAGAGAAAGAAAGGGATGGGGGTTATTTGTCGGGTCGGATTCTCCCATTGCTGTGTGAGAAATTCATGTTTTGCAAGTCTGTCTGGATCTTAAAACTGCCTGGGTAGCTATCATTAGAGAGTGGATTCCCATGCTCCTCTGAAGACCCAAACTCGCAAGTGGGTGGGCCCCTTCCTCAACTTTTCTCTTAGTTTTCTTGCATATGTTCTTCTCTGCATAACCTTCCTCTGGGAGGAGGATTTGGGAAGAGAGAAGAGGACACAGTGTCTGTGTTGGGGTCTCCTTTGCCTTCAGGTCTAAGTGTCCCCCCAGTTTTTATTTTAATGGTCCGGGGACGAGGGCCCTGGCTTGGGGGAAGTTGGGGGAGGTCAGGGAGGAAAAACATTGCCCATGTGCTGTGCTGGTAGGTAGTTTGTCTAATTTTTTTAACCTGCTGAAACTCCTGAACCTTCATATCCGCCCCCCCACTTTGTTTATCTCCCTCCTCCCCCATGGAAGAAGCAGCAAAAAAGAACTGGAAAGCCTCTCCCATTCCTGAATGAAGGCTTTCTCCTCTCTGGAAGGCTTTTTGGGGGATAGTGCTGGGACAGTCTAGGCTCTCCCAGGGGCCTTGGGCCCCCAAGGAGTGGGGGGGAGACGGGGGTCTAGGTGGCTAGCACAGATCAGGGTGCCCTGTGGGCTGAGTTTTTGTACCCCCCTTCCCTTCTCTGCAGACAGCCCGGTGAGTGGGGAGAGACTGGGGGGTCATGTGCAGTATATTTATGTAAGACACAGACAGAGGGCACGGGTATTTATATAACCCGGCGTGGGTATTTATGTAATATAGGATGCGGGTATATTTATGTTCCTTTCCTAACCTGCGGCTTTCCCGGCTGCCTTGTGTGGTCTCTGAATCAGCGTTGGTGGAAAATGGACTGGGGGGGTGTTTGTGTGCACACCCCCCAGCGGGGCTCACCGTGTGTGTCTGCTTTTCTTTCTTCCCTTGAAGTGTAAACGCTCGGGAAGCTGGACGTGTGTACGTGGGGCGTGTGGGTTTCCTGCAAATGTGGAGTGCTTTCCGCTGGCAGTGTGGCCCCTCAGCTGGGAAAGGCCAAGCATGTGGGCAAAGGCCCTTGATTGAGAGCCCAGAGTTTGACTGGCACGGGATGGAGGAGGCTCCTCGTGGTCATTGGTGGAGGGCTAGTGCGCTCCCTGGAAGCCCGGTGCTGGGGCTGCATGTCCCTTCTGGCCTCTGCTCAGAGAGCTCAGGCCCGGCTGGCCATGGGGTCAGTCTCTCCTGTCTGCCTCTTAGACTCGCCTGGCTGTTGGGGCAGCACTTGGCACGGGATAGGGCAGATCCTCTGTGCTAGCACAGCTGCTTTGCTGTCTTCCTATTTTGCCCCCCTTGTTTGTGAGGGTACAGGGCCAGCAGTTGGGGCGGCAGGAGGCCTGTCTGGGTACTAGGTGGGACTCTGCAACTGTGTGGAGTGGTGTGGGCAGGTGGTGTGGTCTGAGTACCCTGTACCCTCATCTTAATCTTCAGAATTGGCCGTCTTCTAAGTACCCCTCTCCCTCTGCCTATTTCATGACCTCCTGTTCCCAGGCCCCAGTGCTGAAACTGCCTCTAGCCTCTGAGTTCCCTCCTGCTGGCCAGGAGCGCAGAGTCCCGAGCCTTTTGGTCGAGGCTAGAGCAGAGGGGTCTGCTTGGATGACCCCAGCCCTGAGGTCCCACAAGCTTGGAGCACCCAGGGTGAATCCCAGGGAAGGAGGGAAGCTGTTCAGACCAGAACCACTCCCACCCCCCGGTGGTTGGCAGCTAAAAACCTGGCCAGGGTCCCCTCAGTTGCTCTGCAGAGGCCCTCTTAGGAGACCCCCTACCTCTCCAAACAGTTTATCCAAGGGGCTATGTTCAGAGAGACCCGTGTGAGGTTCTTGGTGTCCTGAAATAGAGAGGGGGAGACTGGAAGGTGCATGTCCCGGGGCGCCTGTCTCCTGTTCCCCCTCCACACCCCCCAGCGGGGATGAGACTCCCTTGCAAGGGCACACTGGGAACTGGTGGGGTCTGGCCTCTGGGTAGGGGCAGCACTTGGGAAGACCTGGTCAGGCTGTGGAATTGAGGAGCCCCGTCATCACAGAGGCCCAAAGGGGCTGAGGAGCTCCTTGGGGGCCGTTCCCTGCACCTTGTTCTCCCATTCCTGAAGGTTGGGACTTCCTGTAGTTTCCATGATGGTGCCCCAGAATGTTCAGCTCTGTAACTCCCTACTTATCACCCCCTTTGTCCTTGATTTTCCTTTCAAGGTCTTGGCCTGTAGGGACCGGTCCACCCCCCCCCCCCCCCCTTAAGAGGCTTCTATTGGGGGGGATCTTCAGCCTAAGGAGATGCTGGCTTGGCTGTTTTCTCTCAGGCTGTGTGTCTAATTCTACCTTTAGCCTGGCTAAGCTGAAACTTGTTCTGAACCTGCCTCAGCCATTCCCCAGATGTGGTGGAGTATGGGCTGTGGCCACCTGACACCTGGTTGCCTTCCGGCAAAGTTAGGCCAAACTTCTTTCTGGACAATAGGAGGGAGAGTGTGGATCTTCCAAGTTCCTTGTGGCTTTGCCTGGCCCTTGGCGGGGGAAGGGTGGGCCCAGTGGGCTAGGCCCCTTTCTCAGCTCCCCTGTCTCCGACCCCAGTGTTTGTGTTTCCTCTGCAGCAAGAGTAAGTGAATCATGGAGCTACGCGTGGGGAACAAATACCGCCTGGGACGGAAGATCGGGAGTGGGTCCTTTGGAGATATCTATCTGGGTAAGTGTTTCTGGCTCTATCTGAATAGCCCTGGGGACAAGAAGGAGGAAACATGCCAGGATCTGGGGATCTCAAGCCAGAACATGGCTCCAGTGTCATGATTTGCCCCTCAGACCATCCCAGGTGGGTAGGGAGCAGTAGGTTGGGGTGAGACAGGTTGGAGGGCTTCCCTCTCAGTCAAGGTAGGGTGGGGTGGGGCTCCCACTTGCTGCTGGCTGGACAGGGGATGGAGTGTTTATAGGTCTGATTTCCAGTTGCAGCTGCCCTGGGTTTCCAGCTGGGGTTGCACCCCTGTCTCTTCTGGGAAAAGAGGCCTGGGCTGCCGCTAGACCCCAGCCTGGCTCCTCCTTGTGGTCTGGCCTCCTGGAATGCAGCCCAGGCAGGTTTTGGAATGATGCAAGCACAGCCTGTAACCTTGGGGAAGGGGGTCTCCCCATTTAGGGAGTTTTCTCTTCCCACCCCATGTACTTCCTGTTGAAAGCTTGAATTTGCTCTGATGCCATTTTAAGCAAATCACTGACATTCCAACCTTCTTCTGGACCTGAGAGAAGTGAGGCTTATGCCTCCCAGGGCCACTTGACCCTCTGAGGGGCCCATTTGTGAATCACAGCACTTCCTTTGTGATTGTTGGTCTGAGGGGGGACATACTTAGTGACTGTGGATTGGAGAGTGCGGGCCTGGAGCCTGTTGGGACAAGGTGGCCAGTCCACCCAGAGTTTATCTCCTTTTCTGTCCCTATGCCCTCAGGAGCAAGCTAGATCTGCCTCTGTGACCCGGTTTTCCTCCTTGGGAAAGGAAAATCAGCTCTGTCCTGGGCAGAGAAAATGGACAAGTCTGCATGCTGTGTTAATTCAAAACTTAGGGGTTTCTCTTACCTTGTGGTCAGGGTCCCTGACCCCTTGGAGTACGAAATCTGCTTCTCAGGGAGTCTCAGAGGGGACAGAGAACGGGCCATTTCTGAACAAATGGCCTCACAGGAGCCCCTAGAGTTGGTGCCCAGTTATCCGGTTTTACACATCCGGAAACTGGTCAAGTTGGCCTCCCAATGCCGTACTAGAAAACTCGCAAAAGCAGCCCATGTGCGTACAGCCTTCTGAGTGTATAAGACTGAATATGGACAGACCTGAGTGCTAGGTCTGGCTTTGTGTGTTGATGGGGAGGTCCTGTAGCTGCTCTGCCTCAGTGTCCCCATCTGCAAAGTTTGTGATAACACTGCCTGGCTGTCCAAGGGCTGAGGCACAAATGAACGACAGATGGGGAAGCATTTTGTAAACTTAAAGAGCCAGCCTGAGGTACAGTTCATTACTGAGGATCTCGTAGATTGCTTTGCCTTGGGAACCCTGGAGCACAGGACAGAGAGAGGGAGCAAGTGCAATGGAGCTGGTTTGAAGGTTTTCACTGTGTACTGAGCTCCCCCCAGGAGGCAGGCATTGGGTTGTATCTGCTCTCCCTTCTCAGTGCCCAGCATGTGGCTTCAGTGGGGTTCACTGAAGGCTTGTCGGGTGAATGAATGAGAAAATGAGACTGACACACACAGGCATGTGCAGAGGCTGCACTTAGTGCAGGGTAGAGAAAGGTCGGGATTTGGGGGCCAGTCCAGGTTCAGTCCCTAACCTGCTCCTCATCTGCTGTGTGACCTGGATTAAGTCACTTTGTCTCTCTGAGCTTCGGTATTCTCTGAAATGGAGTACCTATCTCCTTACTGTTGGTGGAGTTGTGAGTGGTATAAAGGGCCCTCCTATTACTGAAGCTCTTGGACAAGGGGCGCAGAGTCAGCTCTCAACACAGATAGACTCCTGCTCCTAACCAGCATCCAGGCCAGGTTGCTCTTTTTGCAGAAGGGAAGCTGAGGCCCACTGGGTTGGAGGGTGGAGGGCACAGTGCATAGTCACTTGAAAAAGCCAAGTTGAGCCAGGCTTGGTGGCTCAGCCTGTAATCCTGCGCCTTGGGAGGCTGAGGTGAGTGGATTGCCTGAGCCCGTGGGTTTGAGACCCTCCTGGGTAACTTGGCGAGACCTCATCTCTACAATAAATCAAAAAAATGAGCCGGGTGTGGTAGCGCTCGCCTGTAGTTCCAGCTACTTGGAAGGCTGAGGCGGAAGGATCGCCGGAGCCCAGCAGGTCGAGGCTGCAGTGGCCGGGAGTGGCCACTGTACTCCAGTCTGGGCGACAGAGTGAGACTCCAACTCAAAAAAAAGAAAAAGCCAAGTTGGTTCAAGGAGGGACCTCCTTGGGGACAGAATTTACTGCTTGGTCATCTCGTTCATTTGAAAAACTAGGTCCAGCCAGGCGCAGTGGTTCATGCTTGTAATCCCAGCACTTTGGGAGGCGGAGGTAAGAGGATTGCTTGAGCCTAGGGGTTCGAGACCAGTCTGGGCAACTTGGCTAGACTTTGTCTCTACAATAAATAAAAAAATCAGCCGGGCGTGGTGGTACATGCCTGTGGTTCCAGCTACTTGTAAGGCTGAGATGGAAGGATCACCTGACCCCAGCAGGTTGAGGCTGCAGTGGCTGTGATGGTGCACTTCAGCCTGGGTGACAGACTCCAACTCAAAAAACAACTAGGTGCAGATTTACTTCTTTTACTGGCTCTGGGGTAAATCCAACTTAGGTTTGGGTCCTGGCGTGTCCTTTTACTGGCAGTATGTCCTTGAGCAAGTGATGACCTCCACCAACCTTGGCTACCCTGTCTGTAAAATGGGGTCATGAGAAGTAATGAGGTCCTGATGTGCAAAAGACCTGAAGGTGTCGGGCCCAGCAGTAGTGCTTTTCCTCTGTGCCCTTCACCCTTGGTCTTAGTTGGGAGGTGCTGCTTTCAAAGGATCTGGGTCCTTTGGGGCCTGAGTAGGGGAAGGTGAGTCAGTTTTCCAGACTGTCTAGCCTTACCGGGTGCAAGGACCTTGGGAGGCCCTGCCCTGACTCAACATCCTGCCGACGTCTTCCTGGACCCCTGTCTTGCTGGTCTGGGGACAGTGGTGATTGTAGGACCTTTCCTGGCCAGCCTCACTGGCTCCGTTTGTTCAGAGCTGTGGCCACATTCTTGTCCCTGGTGCCAGGCCAGGGCCTGACTCCAGATGGCCTCTGCAGGTGGGGCTGGGTGTGGCCTCTAAGCCCTGCTTTCTAGGATCAGCCGAGGGCCAGCACTGGATGTGGCTGCAAGGCCCACAGCTCCTCTTCAGCCCCTTACCCTGGCATCATAAGGGGATAGCTAGGAGAGTGGGACCCACTTTGTTAAGGGCGTCCACTTGGCTGCCCAGGTCCAGAGATGGCCAAGCCTTGGCCCACTCACTGACCTTGCATCCTGGGAAAACTCTCTAGACCTCTTAGAGTCTCTGGTCCTCAGCTCTGAAAAGGGTGGGAAGCAGTGCTCTGAAAGGTGTTTATGGAGGTGAGGGTTATTGGGGAATCTTATGGGCTGCTGATGGGTGGGAGCTAAAGCTGCTCCTGCTGTTGTTGCTGGGACATGAGGGCTTCCTCCTGGCCAGCCAGGTCCCTGATGCTGTGGGTGTGTCTATGTGGGTGTCTGGACAAGCCCTCGTGTGAGGCTGGTCCTTGCTACCTGGAACTACCTCGTGTGAGGTAGTTCTAGCCCCTCTAGGGCTGGCCCGGTGCAAGTACTTTTCTGGGTTCAAGTTTGTTTTGGGAACTGGCCAGTCCCCCCACAGGGCCACTGTATCTAACTAATGAGGCTGTATTCTGCTCCTTAGGCAGTTATTCCAGCTTCGAAGCCTTTGTGTTTGGGTCCCCTTCAGCAATGTTGAGCCTACCACTCGCAGACACAGCCTCTGCCAGGAAACTTACCTGCCGTTACAATGGAGAAAAAATTTTCAGGAGCTTTGCAGGCTAAGTTTCAGATCCAGATTCTGTCTCAGTCACTTGTCTGACCTCATGCTGGTTGCCTAGCCTTTCTCAACCTCAACTCGGTGGCTATGAGAATCAGGGGCGCTCAGAGAACAGCCAGGAGCTTCTTGGTAGAATTCAGGGGCACCAAGGGGCCCAGCGGCAGGATCTGGGGGGACAGGAGGCAGCTGTGGCAGGTTTCAAGCACTTGATGGTGGTCAAAAGACTTCGCCTAACAGCCTGGCCCAGGAAGTGTGGCATATGGTCATTTGACCTTTAGTTTCTCTATTCCACATGTGGCAAAGGGAAATACAAACAGTAGTACTCGCCAGAATGGGGGAGGGCTCTAGAGGACCCCAACCTCCCCACACCTCCTCCCTGTACACATCTGCAGAATCACCTGGTGCTGCAGGCCCTGCCTCCCAAGTGTTACCTTGTCTGGGCAGGGCCTCTGTTGGTTCTTGCCTGTAGGCAGCAGCATCCCTCTCCCCCTCTAGCCTCCTCCAGCCCTTTCTCATGCACTAGGGAGTCTTAACAAGGGGAGATTTGGCAACCTTTTACTTTGTTACAGCTTGTGGGGTGGGGTAGCTGCTGGCATCTAGTGGGTAGTGGTCAGGAATGCTGCTCCATACCCTGCGGTGTGCAGGAGAGTCTCACAGCAAGGAGTTTCCTGCCTCAGTGTCAGTAGTGTGAGGTTGAGAAACCCTGTAACCATATGCCTGAACTTGGCCGCCAGGACCCTAGCTAGCAGTTTGAGACCCTTCAGATAGTTTCCTTGCCGACTCTACCACTGTCTTCCTCTACTCCAGTGGCCCTGCTGTATCAAACCACTCAGTTGGCTGTACCCCTCCTGTCGAGCCTTTGTGTGTGGCGTGACCACTGTCTAGCACAGTCTTGTTCGCGAATCAGGAGCCCTCGCAACCTGGGCTTCAGAGAGGCTCTCCATCCCCTCTGCCCCTCGGTCATAGTACTACCGACTCCTTTCTTCAAACTGACGTGCAGGGCTAGAGTGCCACAGTCCCTGCTCATCTCTGTAACCTAGGTCTGCACTTCCCATCACACCTAATGTTTGTGGAGCACCTACTGTGTGCCAGACTCTCCTAAGGAGAGTTGTTCCTCAAAATGGCCTAAGGAACCAGGAATATCATTGGTTTACATGTG